AGTTTAATAACAACAATTTAGTTTAACAACAGAGTATAAAACACTACAAAGAAACAATTTGAAATTCTTATAATCGATCAAATGCGACACCTATTTCTTTATGAGCAGAATTACTGTGGTATGGACTATGTGTAAAAGATTCTGTGCTCCTCACAATATTATCTTTTTAAAGTGACAGGATCTACCCCAGGTCGAAATGAAGATATGGATATTAATTTGCAGGTGTAAATAGAGAGTTACTTGGCTATAATATTTCTGATATAACATAAGAATAAGAATAATATATTTCCAGTGCTTTGGGACATCCTCCCGAAGTGAAAGGCGCTGTGCAAATGTAATTCTGTATATTTTGTATTTTACTTTTCTACACTTTTGAAGTGAAAGACATTTCCTTACTTGAATCTCCCAGGTCCTCTCTTCTCCACTTTAGGCCAGGTTTTCAATCTGAGATCCAATGCAGAACGGACTTTTCCAGTCTTTTGATTCTTCACCTCCTTGGGTAGAAACTGCAATGGTACCTGGGGACATCTGCCACCTCTGAACACTCTGGTCCTCTGGTTTCTGGCAGCATTACTAGTTTTGTGTAGAGGTTGGACATTGACAAGAAGGAAGCAGCTCATTTGTCCATCGTATCGGGTGCAGCTGAGTTGAACTCAGGGATCAATTCATTTCTCAATGTAAATGCCTCATTTCAGAACGGGTCCTTAAACCACAAGAGGAGTGAGTTCTTTACATGCTCTTTACACTTATTGCAGTTTGGATTAACTTGCGTGAAAGTTTGTGGTACTCATGAGTTCCCCGCCTCCACGTATAATTTAACCGGTACATTATGAAGGATATCAGCACAATTTCAAACCTGACTATTGTGTGCTGACACAGATTATTAACGGTTGCTTCAAATGCGATGATACAATTCAGAATATGCAATACTGCTCAAGTAATTGGGTTTATCTCTCACATCACCAGCCCCCAGCACCGTCAACAATAACCATTTATTGGTCTAAAATGGTGTGTTTGTTTCACAAAGGATTTCACTTCACTGCTCCAAGATACACCTTTACATTGCACATTGCTGGGGGAGAAACATCCCGTCAGATATGCCCAGTCAGGATTATCATCTATTGAGGATTACTGCGTGCCAATCAACAACAACAACAACTTGGATTTATATAGCGCCCTCCACGCCGGACGGCGTCTCAGAGCGCTTAAGTAATCACTAAAAATAATGATTTTTTTTTCTTTACTGGTTTATAATTGGGGTTTTCTCATTATAACCATCGGTATGTGTCAACCCCCCACTGATGAGTAATTGCTTTCGAAGGCAGCTTTAAAATCCAATTAGATGTTTTAAAGTTACTGTACTGGTAAATAAGAGATTTTTCATATAGTTCCCACCATGTCCATCTGTGCCAGGCTCTAAATCCTTCAGAACAGGTAATGATCCGGATTAATTTTTTGGGGGGAAAGATGTTTTTCTGTCGAAAAGTCAAACAATATGGAGATGTGCCTGACATCTTCTAATGGTTTCAACAAGATTATTTTCATGTAATCGTTCTCATTAATTGCCGCAGAATTCACTGATATGACTGCAAAGCTATATATTTGCATAATATCATCATTTGCATACTCCTTATGAATGGCTCATTGACCACGAAAACACTTTGACCATAAAATTTTACATTACTACTTAATGTAATTACTGTTCACTAATGGCGGGGCTTTCGTGTTTAAATACAAAGCTGCATTAATTGATGCAAAACTAGGATCTGGATAAAGCAGTTAAAGACACTGTTGTAGGTCATTTTGTGCTGTTAAGCAAATAATCTGTGATGATATGTTGGGACGCAAATTGTATCTGCTGCACACACACACACACACACACACAGCCAGAAGAAGGTGCTGAAGAGGAGCACCAAGGTTAGCCCTGTTGGACCCTCTATAACCTGGGAAAGCTGAGGCCAATTTAACATCCTCACAGGTTCTGATTGACACCGGCAAACTCAGTATGGACCAGGGTTGAAGCCTCCAGTCCTTAATCTGCAGCTCTATCTACTACTACACTATCATGGCTGGCTCTCTCCTGTGTGCTTTTGTTTTTGACAGGCAGTCAGTTAACAACAGACTGAGACGAGAACTGTCACTTCCATTGGTTTTTGTTTGATTTTGTTACGGCTTGAAATAATTATTCCGAAATTTGTCATTTGTTTCACTTGAGGCTACAGAGTTTGTGTTGGAATACTTTCTAAACGTGGCTGGGTGGGGTCACATGTTTGTATGTTTAAAGCTGCAATTATATATATATACATATAGTGGGCTTTTCACAACAACCCATCTTACGTTTGAGATGAATTCCTGTGAAAAAATGCAATAGAAATTGTAAAAACAATGTGAAGTGTCCGCCTGGCTCAGTTTGGTTGACCTCTCACCCCCTAGAGATCTCACCTGGCCCTCTCACCTCTGAATCTGAAGGTGGTAACTCAGGTCATTACTTTGAGCTGATATGCTCTAGTTTTGCAATGCAAAATACACAGAGAATCCACTTTGCACTACATGCTGTGAATCGCTTTGAGATGCCTCAACCATGTGATAAGGCTCTTTACTATTATCCCCAAACACTGTACTTGGGGACGGGCTGCGGTGGCGAAGATGCTGTGGTTTGGATGAAATGTTAAACTGAGGGCCCGGCTGCCGGTGCAGGAAGATGTTAAAAGATCCCAAGGCACTATTTAGGAAAGAGAAAGGAGTTTCTCCAACGTCCCCAGATTAAACTGGTCCCTCACTTCTTGTCTGTCTGTGGGACAATGCTTGTGCAAATTGGCTTTCACATTTGCCTGCAAAATACACAGTCACTACACTACAATAAGTAGTCTGAAATGCTTTGAGACATCCTTTGAGACATAATATCAAATGCAAGGGTTATCATTAAACTGCACTTGATCCCTACTGCTGTGGTCACGTTAAAGTCTGACAGCTTTCAAGGGATTCTTTCAATGTTACTGCATTGAAATAAATATCCAATTTTCAGTTGTTTAACTACCTCCTCTTCGACCGTTCCTTCGGTCATCCTCCTTCCCCCCAAACCTCTGCCCTCCACCCTCCCCAATCCTGACCCCCAGCTCATGTCTGAAACACTGACTGTCCAGCGCCTTGGGACATTCTCCCGACGTGAAAGGTACTAAAGACATGTCATCTTGTTGTTGTTGTTCCTCTGAGAGCAGAACATATATCATTATGTTCGGCTTCCTCGCTCCATACTTTGATGTTGTTAGAAATTATATTTGCTTCTCTTCCACCAGCCTGAACACAGCATTACACACCTCTCTCAATACCACAGCACACAAGTAACTAACCTCAAACATCAAACCTGTGACAGTGAGCTGTGTTACATTGCATGCGTGTTTATATTGTTTATATCTCGTGCAAACACCTTGGCACGTCTTTCTGACATAAAAAGTGCTATATAAATGTGACTTGGTTGGTGGTGGTCGTGGTTGAAATATCTCCTTGGATTTACTTTTGTTTGACAATAACATTTTTCTTACCAAAGAGAAGGCAGAAGAAATGCATTTGTGAAGTACGCTTGGGCTTGATTTGGACAAAGTGAGCACTGATTGAAGGTGGTAGCACACATATAATAATAATAATAATAATAGTAATCCTTGCCTTATAAAGCCCAGTTTTCACCACACTAAAAGCACGATGGCTGAAAACTGATTTGTGTAATTTAACTACATTTAAACGTCCACAATGGATGTGAATAACATACTCTATTACCTCCTAATTATGAGGCTGCCCTTTGTTTTTACCGTTACATCTAAAATGAAAAGATGCTGCTGAGAAAAATAATATGCACCTTTAGAGAGACTGGCTCAGAGAATGAATTATTCATAACCAAATTGCACTTGATGCCTTTTATCTGCACTGAATAAGAAGCTGCGGGGTGCTCAAGAATAATATATTAACGGTTTCACACCTGACATGGTATTAAAAAGAAATCCAGTTAACTAAATATGAAAAAGCATGCATAAATCATATGTAGGCAATCTAATTCCACGCACTAAATGACTGAAAAAGCTTTTAAAAATATAAGTTTATCAGGGTTACTCCATGCATGATAATCTCATGATTTTCAAAAAAAGTCATCTTGCACGCACAACAGCTCATTATTTGAGCGTTTTATTGGTTATTGTTTTGTATATTTTTTTCACAGGAAGCTCTAACATGTTGTTAATTTAAAGTGAAAACAACAGAAAATAACTTAAATGTCATATTTTTCCCCTTGTTTACCATTCTGCCTCTGCAAAGCGCTTTCAGACACTTTCCTATGTCAAAGGTGTTACACAAACACAGACAACTTGCGGCACACTTGGTAGGTCCCCGCCTCTAAGTCAGAACGCTGTGGGTTCAAGTCCTAATGTTAAATCACTTGAAGAAACTCTGTTATCCAGGCCCAAGTCAAATGCTACAATTCCTAAAAGCTCCAGGCAACAAGTCAGGCAAAGTAGAACAATCTAAATCATTAGCTACTGATTACTGTGAGGTGCAAGAAGAATGGATTCAGTCCCGGAGTTGAAACGTGTTACCCAAACTCTGCCAGAGCAGGAGCTCAGCAAAGCCAGCCCTTCTCCGCAGTCATTGACTTGATGTCCAATGACCAGCTTCAATGTTTATCTCGGTGCAGTTTATAAACAATCTGAGCCAGAAACTCAGGTAGCAATAATAAAACCAGAAGTGGCTGGGTCTCTTCAGGTCAATGGCGAAAAGTCTGACCAAGAATGGACTTGGTAACTTCAGGAGAGATTGGTACATTGGCAAATGGACATTGACTTGGGCAGAATTAGCAAGCGGGTGTTTGCTAAACACCATCAATATTACTGAGCGAGCTCCTAATGTTCTAAAAGAAATTACGGTCTGAAATTTAAATTAAAAAAAGTAATTGAATCCTTAAGGAGCTACTGTGTAAAAGTAAAGGAACTGAAAGATGTAGCAAAGGGACTTACCTTGGTGAGAGGGAGTGTGGCTATTTCTCCTGCCATTTCTGAGCTGCAAGAAAATAAAGCAGAAGGTTTTTAAAAATGTAAAAACAAAGCTTAACAGGAGTGGGTGGTGTGGGAGAGGGATGGTATGGGTGTGGGGGAGAGATTCTAAAAACTGTAAGCAATGCAAGGACCAATATATTGAAAATTAATACTTTCAAATCATCCTAATTGAGCAAAGTGTTCACAAGTCACATGATCTACAAAATGGAAAACTGGCCTTCTTATCTATTGTGGAAGAGTCTTTGTTTCGCTCACAAGTCCCGATAAAACTAACAGTATCTGATCATCAGAAGTTTTACTAACTGCAAATAGGTGTCACTGGTCAGTGTCTAATAGGTGATATTCCTTACTGTTAATAAAACCTCTCTCGTCTAACTTCATTTCCTTTGGCAGATTTCTGTGAAGGTGGAATTCAACTTGAGTTTGGTTCATCTGCCCGGACGTGGCGTGTCACTAATTATGGAGTTTTGTTTTACTTGGGATTTAATTAATTTTATTCAACTTCATTCATCAAAATGAATAGCCCCAGAAAGTGATCCACCGATCCACTAACAATCGGGTTCCTACTTACTGCTGGGTAAACAGAGGTGTGTGGAGTAACCAAACGTACCTAAGGTTTTGCATTCAGATTTGGTTGATCAATAATTAACTGAAGCCAAAGAACAGTTTTCACAATCAGCGCACCTTGAAGTTGTTTAATCGTGTTTATTTAGTTGAAAGTCGTGAATGTTAAAAAATCTGTTCTTTTTAATACAATTCTGTGACATGTTTTGTGGGGAAGTGAAGTGCCTGTGGGAGCAATGGTAACCTCCTGTGTTCTTGTGGTAATGGCTACCATCTAATTTTAGAACCTAATCATGCACAGATCCTAATGGTGCTGCACATGCAGAAGACCTACAGACGATGCCTGACAGAATGCTGAAACCCAAGGCACCAGAGGGTTCGTTCTTGCACTAGAAATTAGACATGGTTCCCAGAGACTGGCTTCAACAGAATCAGCCACTGAAGCAAGTCTTGAATTCTCATGAGCTGCCAACCACTTCAGATGTTTAAAAGGACAACTGCACATTCAGTGGAAAACCACTGAAAAGCCACAAGGCATTGTTGGAGGAGGCAGTGTTTGCATGTTTGTGCAGTGACACTAAAAGCCAGAAGGAGATGGAGGTCACCTGTTGTGAGTATGACACACACTGACTAACACGAGAATCAATTAAATAATAATAATCCTCACATTTGATACAGCGCCTTATCACATCGAGACATCTCAAAGCGCTTCACAGAATATATTTTAAAGTGAATTGACTGTATATTTTGTGGGCGAAACGCGGCAGCCAATTGTGCCCAGCAGCGTCCCACAAACAGTTGTGGATTCAGTGACCAAATTATCATTATTTTTTTGAAGGGATTATTACCTGCAGAAAAGCAATCCGCCAATCGACTAACACCTCTGTTTCTACTTAATGCTTAGTAAACAGATGTGTGTGTGTGGAGTAAGGAAACTTGCCTAATGTCTCGACCTGTCTGGGAATCAAACCCAGGTCCTCTCGCTTGCTGCGCTACAGAACTCTGTGGAAAACATGACTCCTTCATTGTTTTACTCAAAGCTATGCAGATAAGCAGCAACACTGTCCTTACAAGTTTTACTGATACCAATGAAAGCTGAGGAAAGAGGAGGACACAGCAACCAGCAAAGGAAGAGAAGTGTGGACAGAATATTGGGTGGAATGTAGTGATTCTTCCAGGACTGGACTTGATGGGCCATTTATTCCTCTTTTCCTTCTAGATATCTTGAGCTGAACACTTTAGATTTTCAACTGCATGGTTTAACTTTTGAAAGAAAAACATTCGGGTCAGATATTGATCTGGCAAACATGAAGAAAAGGCAATTAATCACGTTCAATGAACAGTGAATGAAACAGCATTGATGTAATATTTGTATTAAATACATTAACCTTTTGTTAGTGGTGTAGTTTAATAGCTGACATTTCTCTTGTGTGCAAACCCCTGGAAATATGGCTTTGAGAAATAAAAATTGCACCATATAAAGACATTACAGTGACAAAGCTGTAGGAATCTATTTAATTAAAAACTAAACCTATCAATAAATAGCACTGTTCCTGCAAGTTCAATCAGTGTTTAAAAGGATTAGTCTATTTTCCCCCTTTTAGGCTCCTTTGTCCTTGTCCCATTCCACTGACAAAGACTGTGGTACATCAGAGTCACAAATCAACACCGGCACCGAAGGTGTACATTGCAGTAACGGAGTTTCGAATGCTGTGTCTCAATCTGTGCCTGTACTGTGGGCAGTGAATTTGCTCTGAGCCATAATAATATGGAGCATGAAGGATGACTTCTGCTTCTTGCCCTCTGAGTTTAGAAGGTTATGGATGGAGTTCAAGCCCCACATTGGGACTCATAAGTTTGAATGCAATGTTGGGGCAAATGCTGTATTGTCGGATTTACAAAGTGTTACACAGAATGCACAGCATGCAAACAAGTCATTCTGCCAAACCGATCCGTACCAAAGTTATGCCCTACATGATTCTTCACCCATTCCTTTCTCCCTCCCGCACCCTCTATTTCCTTCTCCCTCATGTGAAGGTCTAGCTTCCTCTTTGCTGTTCTTCAGGTGAGATGTTAAACCAAACTCGTGTCTGTCTGTTCAGGTGGACGTTAAAGATCCCGCAACACAATTCAAAAAGGGAAGGGAGTTTCTCCTTGTGTTCTGGACAACAATTGTCAATATAGCCAGAGGTTGATGCACAGACATCCCAGAAATCCAGCCTTTGCTTGTTTTGTATTTTCAATATCATTAAGGAGTCAGTGACAAGACTGTCTCTCTGATGACACTGTGGTGTTCAATAGACCAACAGGAAGAGAAAAGCCTGTGCAATATGCATATCTGGAGTGTGTTGCTTCTCCCACTCCCATCCATCTTGCACTCGCGCGGACCTGGGTTCGATTTCCAGGCAGAGTGAAAAATACAGGCACATTTCCTTACTCCACACACCTCTGTTTTCCCAGCAGTAAGTAGGAACCCAGTTGCTAGTCAATTGGCGGATCACTTTTCCGGGGGTAATAATCCTTCAAATAAAATAAACACATTTTAAAAAATAATAATTTGGTCACTCAATCCATGACTGTTTGTGAGTACGATGCTGTAAGCAATTGGCTGCCGCGTTTCGCCCACAAAATATACAGTCAATTCATTTTACAGTGTATCCTGTGAAGCGCTTTGAGGCGTCTCAAAGGCCTGATAAGGCGCTGTATCAGATACAAGGATTATTATTATTATTCTGCTGCCTGTTGAGCAGCATGTCACTGGTAGAATTGTTGTAACTCACCACCTTTAATGCAGGATACTCACAGCGTAACAATACTCCACCAAACTACCTCGACACCCATAGAGTGTGCAGTCATGCTAGACAAAGCAATCCCGAATGCTACTGCATTCTGCAATGGGCTGCGGTGAAGATTAAGTAGTTATATAAATGTAAATTGTGTTGAATTGTATTGTGTAAAATGATATGTGCGATTGAGCAAAGTTACAGGTTGCCGTAGCTGTAAACTGGGGCAATGTCGTAGATTTTTGGATCACAATGCTTGACAAGTGCGAGCTTCAAAAAGATACGGTAACATTCACGGTAACGTGGAGCCGAATCTCTGTAAGAATTCACTGTTTCGTCATGAATATTGCAAGAAAGAAGTGTCATGTCTGCAAGAGAGAAATCAGAGAAGGGGACATCGCTGCACAGAGCCGCAGTGTGTGGATGGACTGCGGTGAGTAATGACAGCACTGGAGTAAGTCAGTGAGCAATGAGAGGCTTGCAATGAGTCACTGGGAACTGACAATCATGCTAGGGTGAAATCCCTCCGAGAGATGACAGCTTAGCAGTGAATCTTTGTAAATAACGGGGCCACCACAAGGCATTGCTTCAAGACATGAAAGCATCGTCATGAGACCTTGTAAATGAAGAACATTGTGACAAATCACTGTTTGAAAACAAACCAAAAGCATCACGAGACCAACCGCCACCACCACCACCACAAAATGACATGTGTAAAGCGCCTTTCATGTCAGGAGGACTTCCCAAGGCGCTGGACAGTCAGTATTATGGACCCGAGCTGGGGTTTGGGATTGGGGAAAGTGGAGGGCAGGGGTGGGGGGAAGGAGGGTAATCGAATGCATGGCCGAAGAGGAGGGTCTTGAGATGGATCAAATGTCTGCGGAGAATTAGAGGGTTCGCAAAAGAGTCCTTACAAACAAAATTACTAGGACAGGTACCCTAGCCCTCACCCTAACCTTGAAAAGGGATTGTCGCTGGGAACCGTCAATAAGCTGTGCAAGAATCCAAAGTGTATCATGCAACAACTGTTTTCACTTTCATTATCGTCTTTAGGTATAAATGAGTGAAGTCTCAGCATCTTTAACAGGAGTCAGGGAATCGGTGAGACTTGAGGTCAGGTTATTTCTTTCCCCTGTTGTTTGGGTAGATTTTTCATTGACACTGACCATTGAAGGATGAAAATGAACTAATCAGCAATTAATCCTATTAACACCACTTTAGTTATTCGCTGATTGAAACTAAGCCATGTTCATGCCATTCAAATGCTTTCCACTGTTTGGCTGGCGGGTAACAAACAGTAAAAAATGGTTCCGACAAAAGGTCATCGACCTGGAACTTGACTCACTTTCCTCTCTCCATAGATGCTGCCTGACCTGGGGAGTGAGGGTTCCCAGCTACTTGTTTTTATTTAAGATTTTCGGCATCTGCAGTACTTTTGCCTTTTGTGAAAAATGGCAAACAGCCCAAACAATGTGAAGTCCAGTTTTGAATGTAACGGTTTGGCCAGCCGGCCAGTGTTTTAATGGTACAAAACCTAGAACACGCTCCTCCGATATCAGAGCAAATGGCAACTGATGCGCTTCACATTTCTGGCGACGGAGGTAGAGGGACATTCTGTCAACCCGTGCCACACGTATAGCTTTCAACAACTGTCGAAAGAAGGTAAACCATCTGCGACGTGTATCGAGGGAACAACTCGCTTACAATAGAAATAGCAACAGAGCTAGAATCAAATTAGCCCCAAGCAAAAAAAACAGTAACATGACCACAGGAAAGGTTTTAATCATGAAACTTTCCGGATGGGATTTCACAAGATCACAAGACTGGGTTAGATGAAGAAGATCCTTCTGCCCATTTAATTTCATCCTTCCCATCGACCCGCAAGCTTCTGTTTTTTAAATGAGTCATATCTGCTGGTCTCAATCACCCTCCCGGTAACCTGCTATCCAAAGAGACTTTGTTCAAAGCTTTCTTAAAAGTTCAGGTAAATGTTTTATTTTGATTAATTCTGATAGCGAGACAAGCTTGGCACCAAGAAGCAGGTAGTGGCAATTTGCCCGGGATCAGAATTCACGACATAAAAGACATTTTCAGCCCTGTGATCCACTGCCTCGTACGACAAAACAGAATCATTTTATTTTAGACTGTATTATGTACCACGTGTCGTCATTTTTCAAATAAAATAATTCCTGTGTATCCTTTTTCTAAATGTTCTGCAGATGGCATTGTTGTACTACAGCTTGAACAGTGAGTGAGGGCCACTGCTGTGAAATATAAAATTCTGGAAGATTTCTAGTCACACATCTATTTGCCCTTTGGGAATGAATGATACAGGAAGTTTTTTTTGCAGACACAAAAAATTTTTTAACAGGATTGCAGTTTTGGGGTTTGCATTTCTTTCAACCGATTGCAAACAATTGCAAATTCCACCTTGTGATGATCAGCTGTGGTGATAGTGCATTGCGTGGCGTTAATTATCACAACAGACACCTTTAAAGTGACTAATTTCACCCCAGTGTTTCTCCTGTATTCGATTCCGTCAGTGTCTGTCTTCATAGTTCCTGCATGTCACTATTCTTTCATGGACTGAGAAAACCCGGATGCGGGTCTTCATGAATGACAGTGTTTAATGTTCCTATCGGCAGCTTCAGCAGCACTGTGCTCCATCTCGCTGCAACCTTGTGTTATAAAATTTCTATATGCAATATCAATTCACTTTACAGTGTATTCTGTGAAGCACTTTGAGACGTCTCGAAGATAGGATGAGCCGCTACATCAAACACAAGGATTATTATTATTATTGTGTTTCAATGGGTGGATGGAAAAGGAGAGACTGCCTAAAGGAAAGTGTAACAATCAATATGCAGAAAAAATCGTTTATCCATTCCCTCCTGTCTCCTCTGCAGTCGTAATTAGACCCGATTTTAGTATTTTTCTGTTGTATTCAATCAAATCTGTTGTGATTCTTGCTCTTGATGCACACTTGGCACAGGCTCTAAAGACGAGAGTAGTTTTGTTTACGTATAGAAACATTTCGAGATCTCCCTAAGCCCAGAGCAAAAACTGTACTCGTCTAAATTTTAATTTGCAAATGTGATCGCATTATGGCAATGGCGAAGAAAAAACACAATAACCCAAGGGGTCACTTCCTAATTATCTCAAACATTTACTGTCTTCCCTCTTGGACTGCATTGTTAATCCTTAATCACAATTCCTAGTAGTGTTGAACCGTTTTGATCACAGAGAATGTTTCTTCAGTCAAGCTCATTATGTTACTGAGATGAGAGGAACAATATCTCGTTGATTAGATAATTGAACGATTGTTCCAAACACAAATGACACAGAGAAGTCAAGGAAAAAAAGCAAAAGCGGATAATGCAAACAAATCTGAGAAAATAATTGAAGTGGTCACAGAGGCACTTAATGCCTCATTCACACAAGATCACAGGAGAGATATGGTGACGAAGGTTTGATGTTAATATGGGAAACATTAGGGGAGTTATTCTGGAAGGAAGAGATCAAATCAGCCTCTCTCTTGTGTCCTCTTGTGTAAAATAATCATCACTAACTGCAGGCAATAGTCAATCATAAGTACGTGTAATGAGAAGATAAATGGTGTGGATTACTTACTCCTCCAAGGATATATTGAAGTAGATGACTCTATAGGCAGGAGGTATATGGCTACTGGTGTTCACACTTCCATCAAGTAAAACTTTTCTTGTGGATGTCTGAGGAACAATGTTCAATACAGCCCAACACCTTCATGTGGAGAGAGAGAGACAGAGAGAGAGAGAGAGAGAGAGAGAGGGAGAGAGTCACATTATGAAAAAAATTCCTTTATCAAGCTAAAATTGTTTTGGAAAAATAAAAGGCAGAAATATGTTTATTTTTCATCGAAGAATGTGCAGAAATCCCATATCAAGATGTTAGATTTTAAAATAAACTGTATATATTATTATTAATGAGTTGGTCTCATAAATAACTCTTCCAAAGCTAACCCTGACTATAACCTGAGTAAAACAACAAACTAGGAAGTATGTTATTCTCATGTTTAATGCTCAACAAGTTGCCAAATGCGGTGAATTGTGTCCCATCACATCACAGCCACTGAACAACTCCAAATGATAAATGTGACAATAAAGTTCACTCATTAAGACTTGTGTCCTTGAGAACCAGGAATCAATGAACATTATCATTAACTGTGCCAAACTATAATGTGAAGGAGCTTCATACAATGGTTTATGTACGATAATGCAGACCTGGAATGTAGCAGTCCATTTTATTTTAATATTAAACTTTGTGGTGACTGTATTTTATCAGCTTTCCTATTGATTTGTATCGGGAAATCACAATTTGAGTAGTTTTGGCTCTGTGTTTGATGGACCTTGTTCGATATTAATCAAATGAAATATTTAAACCAAGGTCAGATCCCTGATTCCTCACTACTGTCTTTTAATGGCATATTTAATTAGGGTCAGGGTACTAAACTGTATCACTACAGAAACAAGAATAATTAGATAGTCATGATGCTTCTCCCTTGAGAACTGCAGAGATTTGTATTCATTCTTCTTTTTAAGACTGGCAATTTAATTATATTACAGGATTGAATCAAGAGGTAATTACAAATCATAATCACCATCAACAGACTTAACTCTGAAGGTAATCTTCACGATCACTGTCCCATTTTGATACCAATCTCAGGGCTGTTGGCTGTTGTTTGAAACATTTAAATTTTTTCCCTTCAAACACAATAAAAAGTAAATATAAAAAGTAATATTAAAAGTGGTTGTACACTCATCAGTGGCTCATGGCGCTTCATTTGCAATAAATGGCTTTTGTAATTTTGATTAAGATCGCTGTCCTCGCTGTCCTCTGTCTTTAAACCCAAACAGCAATTGCTTATTGCTTCATAGCTTCTCTTTGACCGTGCCTTCAGCTCCCCTCTCGACTCTCTTCCTCCTCCTCGCTCCCTCCCTTCCCTCCCCTCACCCTGACCATTTCCCCCCTCCTCTCTCCTCCCTTCCCTCCCCTCACCCTGACCATTTCCCCCCTGCTCGGGTCATGACCCAACTGTGCAGCGCCTTGGGACGTCCTCCTGACGTGAAAGGCGCTCTATAAATGGAATCTTGTTGTTGTTGTTGTTGTTGTTGTTGTTGATCAGAACTTAGTTTAAATGAAGTTCTGATCTGCATTGCAAATTACTCATGGAATACGTTTTACCGAGCATTTGATGCTTCATGTTGCAATGCATTTGACCCTATGAGCTTACTATAGGGGGTCCCGTTAACTGCATCAACATGCACAGAATGTACTGCCATGTGGAGCATTAATCCCTTAGCATTACGTGTTTTGTGCCTGTAATGCGGTCCTGACCACAAGAGGTTGAATTTCAGGTGGCCGAGGTATTGAAGGATTCAGGCCGGGGTAGATTTCCCCCTGGAACGACAGCGCAGCAGTGTCCTGCGTCCAGCCGTGCGTTCAACAAACAGCTGCTGAGCCAATTGGTGATCTGTGACCCTGAGACATCGAATCGAGCAGAGCTGTGTACGGCCATATTAGGAAGCCGCGAGGGTGTGAGGGGAACAGAAGCCCTTGCATTCTCAGACAAAAAAACGTTAAGACAGTGGCTAAAACCTGCGTGAGATGGGACAACTCGACCTCAGACAGAACCTGTCTTGTTTTTTTCTGCTGGAGAAGTCCGGCTCCTTTTGTTTCCAGAATCAGAACAGTCTGGCACACTGTGCGTTCCGGGTATTTACAAGCTCTCCGGGATGCTGCGCATTGTGGAGGGCGCGACAGACACGCAAGTGGTTGCTTTTGTCGTAAAGAGAGGAAACGTGGCGCGGCATTCAACAAAAACAACAACTTGCACTTAATGTGGTGCCCTCCACGCAGGGGAGCGGCTCAGAGCGCTTAAAGATGGGATTCAGCACGAAGCTGGGAGGTGTAATTGAGCTGATCTAAAAGGCCGGATGAGGAAGAGCTTTGATGATATTTGATATTTTGGATGATATTTTTCTTGTTTTGTTCAGGGTGGAGAACCACGTGCAATCATTGCGGACAGGCCGTCCGTGTTTGTGCTGAGGCTGTGTTCTTGTTCGAGATGCACAGCCACATTTCATAAAACCAAACAGCCTCCTGAGGCCACGCTGTTATGAGATGTGGGCGTGTGAATAGGCAGGTGTCCAACTGATCTCCCATCAAAAACCCTCCTGTCCATGTCATCAGAGCTGAAGGAAGGCATGTCTCCATTGCCTGTTTTTGCTCAGTTTATCATTCGAGAATTTCCTATTAAGATTGTCTCCATAACTCAAAGATAATAAGAAAATCTTGGCCTTCTCTGCTTCCTTAAAGTATGGTTTATTTGATCAAAACTAATTACACTCTAAGCTTACTTCTTAACAATAAACAATATTCCCATTGTTGTTTTTTGTTGGAATAGATCAAATGGATAAATAGATGAATCTATTTATAAATACATATATCCCTCCTCCCTTAATCAATTTAAAGTCCCTTTTTCTATAGTCTGGCGCATATATCAAATGTAAAGATTATTATTAATATAAGTGGTTCACTTATTTTGTTTAACACATCTATATTTTGTAAAACAAGGTGCAAAAATACTTCTTTAGTTCTGAAACAATGACTTTTATGTCTCTAAGTACATGACAAATGTTTCAAATGAATATTTTGTTCCCATCATTAATTTGGATAGCTTGAATGGGTTGCACTCAGCATAAACAAAATCAATTACTCACCTTCCAGGAGATTACTGCACTTGCCATGATCATACCCTGTTAGTCCCTATTTTAAGATTTTCCAACATTCTAGATAATTAATTAAGATGACATGATTGGTGAACATTTGCTATATTAATAATATTAATATATATTAGGGATAATAATCCCTTCAAAATAAATAAATAATAATAATTTGGTCTCTCAATCTACCACTGTTTGTGGGGACGCTGCTGTGCGCAATTGGCTGCCACGTTTCGCCCACAAAATACACAGTCAATTCAATTTACAGTATATTCTGTGAAGCGCTTTGAGACGTCTCAAAGACATGATAAGGCGCTTTATCAAATGCAAGGATTATTATTATAATTATTATAATTTTTTTTACTATTGGAATTGCTGCTTAAAAAGCTGAAGTAGCTACATTTTGACTTGAAAAATTGGAAACTGCAATTAGATTTATTTCCTGGCACAGTGAGAACATGTATATTGCATGTGAAAATGAGAGTTGCTGTTGATGTAGTGAGCACTTGGCTGAATTGCCTTTTTTTCATTCCACAGCACATCTAGGATAGTAATTTGAACAGAAAGCACTCCCTCTAGATTTCCCTTTCTCCTTAAATATTGCATTTATATACATATTGGATTTTAGTGGTGTTCACTAAATGGATGGTAGGCATTTGTTGCTTTATCAAACATTGCAGAGTTTTTTACAGAAAGTAATTAAGTAATTAAATCAGAACCTTGCCTCCCGGATAAATGTAAATTTGGTTGCCAGGATTTCTATTTAAAACTCTTCTCTGTAGATAGTGCAATTTGTCTGCTGACCGAGAGTGGGTCGTGCACAAACTATTTTGAATGGGCAGAGGTGTAAATCTAACCTTAAACGATTATGTAGCTATGGAATTCGATGAGGAAACATCTGGGGGGAAAGTGGGAACTCTATAATAAGTTCTGCGGTTTTTATTTGGTTAAACTTCAGAAGTATCGAAACATACCGTCTGGGGTCCCCAAACTACCACCAACCTACTTGTGGCTCTTTATGCCAAAATAGTTCAATTTGCATTTGACACCAAGGAGGGAGGGAGCTGTGATATCGGGGAGGGGGTGGGGGCAGACCAGATGTGTGCAGATAAATTATTGGCAAGTGAAATTCAATTCAAGACTCTACAAATTGGAAGCAAACAGAAGAGGTGCTTTGTTCTGCATGCTCATGCTTAAAAATACTTACAAACTAATTACAACAGTGTTTAACACATTCCTGTGGTTGGAAAGCAAATTAAAAGGTAATTGAATACAATACAATATAGTACAATAAAAACCTGCAATTTTCTGTTTTCTGTGCAAGTGTAAGTAGGTAAGAGAATGAGAATACTGGTTGCACTTATTTGAATTAATTTAAGTCACAGGACTCATCTGTCACACTTACGCAAAGAAGCCTTTCATTTAACGAAACTATTATAATATAAAACCATCCAATTGACCTCCCATCATAAAAACAAGCTGCTCTATTTATCTGTGCTCTGTTTAAATAAAAAAAAACTCAACCTAATACGAGGATAGGGAAAAAACACCACTGGATCTAATTATAATCTGTATTTAACATCAGGGAACACCTGACGAGATATAAATCCTTGGCATCAGCTGAGTACCTCTACAAGACCGACTTAAATTATTCTGAAGTGAAGCTGGAAAGGAATGATTCAGAAGCTGCCGGTAATGTGGTTACAATAGGAAAAGCCTTCCAATGTCCACCGCATCCTTCATTACTAGAAACAAGAGGGCTATGTCTCAGGTGCTGTCTGTCTGATTAAAATGGCAGCCTTTCAAGTCACAGCTGACAGTAGCAACAGAAAATCTATCGGGCTCTGAAAGTTTAAAACAAGTGCAGGAAAGAGTCGCTGACGTACATTGATAATAGCTTGCTCTGTGCTCAGCACAGTGCTGGGGGAGTGCTGTATTTTATTGGAGGTGCCATCCTTCGGTAAGATATTAAACTGACTTGTTCTTGTGGTGTGAGGT